CAAATACCATCACACTGGAGGCTGGGACCTCAACTCACAAACTTTAAGGGGACATGAACATGTAGCCCATAACAAGACCACTGGACGATTCTTTCCAAAGATCATTTAGAATAAATGCACTCATTTATGCTCGTACTAGGGGTGATCTAATGACCTCATCTGCCAGAGAGGCACTGCTTGATGCCTGAGACTAGAGTCAGGCCAACTGAAACCTCCCCCGGAAAAAATCAATGATGACTTTATGTGCAGTAAGCTAATGAGACCATGCAGCTCACGCCGAAACCCAGACAGACATGACTGGTGCCTCTCACCCCTGGAAGAACATAGCCCAGTCACCGACCTGCTCAACCAAACTAAAGAGCAAAAACTAGGAAGACGTGCCCTTTCTTTTTATAGGAACACACGAATATTTAAATATGTTTTTCACTGGAAGGATTTCCTAGGCGACAGACACCCACTTACCTTACTGGATTTCCAAACACCCCTGGCCTAGAACGTGTGCATAAGCCTGACACTCACGGACCAGGAGCAGGCCTGGCGCTCTGGCCTCTCCCCGGGGTGCTCTGGACTCGAGAGGCTGAGTGGTGGCACCCACAGACCGGTGGGAGGACAGCAGGGACCCGGAGAACAGGCAGCTTCCTTTCACTAGCACCATGTGCACACGCGGGGACAGCGGCCAGGCCCTCGGTGACCTGCGGGAGCTCCGGCTTTCTGGGATCAGCCCACAGCCGGTCTTCTCTTCCCACTCTACCCGCTGAGGCAGACATGCACACAGGCTCCTTTTCACGGCAGATTTGGCTCACTGCCTTCTTCCACCAAAGGAAGCGACGTGTACGGAGGAGGCATGTCCCCTGCGACAAATTTCCCAGCCAGACTCACCGTAGGCTGGGCTGTCTCAGAATCCGGGGAAGACTGAGGCGGGTGACCGCCCCTGCCAACCACCAAACCTAAACCAGATCAGCAAGGGACCACCGGGGTTATCGGTTTATTTACAAATCACAGACAAATTAACATTTTGCAGACCATCTACCGTGCACACGATCTGGGATGCCTTTGCTGGAGCTGAGAGTTCACTCAGAAAAGCCCCTGAGTCCCTGGGACTGTGTGAGCCCCGGTGCTGTGTGAGGCTGCCTCCACTGCTGCCCGGAGGAGGGAGGCCCCAGGCTCAGCTTCTGAGCCTCCCTGCCTCCTACGTGTGGTTACCTGTGCCCTGCCTCACGCGGGGACCTGGCCACCAGCAAGAAATGTAATCCTTCTCCACCAAAATCACCCAAAACCCGCTTATTGATTAAGATCCCCAATGCTTTTAACCATTTTGTCATCTTCAGTGGCTTCGTGACTTCCTTCCCTGGGCATTTGTGACAGCCTCACTGGGTGGGGGCCAGGCTCTGGGAGCAGGTGCACCAGTTACATTACAAGGTTAACTTCCAGACTTCTATTTACAGGTCATAACACTGCATTGGGGCCCTGTTCTCAGGTTAAACTCCTTGAGAATGAAAACAGCTCTAACTCACTCTCTTTCTGTGCGTGTCTCAGTCTCTCTGTTTCTGTGTCTTTGTCTCCCCATCTCTTTCTCTGTATACAAACGTACACACACATACACACACACACACACACGCCACGGGAACCACACTGAGCATCTTGGGAATACCTCGTGTTTGATGAAATGGCTAGCTTATAAACCAACAAAAACTTGCTACTGAAGTATTCCTTGGTGAGATAAAAGCCTATACTATATTGGTTTTTGTGGATACTTTTGTGGAAAAAAAAAAGGCCAAGTGCTTATCCATGGTACACATTGTTTTCAAAATTTTGCCAAAGGATAAAGCTCTAAGGCATGACTGAGGAGACAAGAGTGTCATCAGTTCCTGTTAGGAAGACACCAGCTTTGGGTTTGCATATCAGCACCCTCTCCCGCTCGCCAGATATAAAATTCCTTTAATTTAATTAGGTTCATGTTTGAAGAAAACAAGTCTATTCACATAGATTGCAAAAAGATGAAATTTGCATGGGTAAACCGCTAATTAAAGATGCCAAGGGGGGTGCCCGGGTGGCTCAGTCGGTTGAGCGCCCGACTTCAGCTCAGGTCATGATCTCTCAGTTCGTGAGTTCGAGCCCCGTGTTGGGCTCTGTGCTGACCGCTCGGAGCCTGGAGCCTGCTTCCGATTCTGTGTCTCCCTCTCTCTCTGCCCCTTCCCCTGCTCATGTTCTGTCTCTCTCTGTCTCTCAAAAATGAATCAACGTTAAAAAAAAAAAAGATGCCTAGGAAACATAAGAATGTACACATTACATTTTTAATGTATAACCTGTATTATTATTTATTAATGTTATGTATGTAATAATAAATTAATAAATATTAATATATTTTAAATATATTTCATTTCACATATATTTATATATGGTATAGAATTTATATATAACATATAATTATTTAATATACAGTATTAATATATTTAATAATAAATTGATAAATATTAATATATAACCTGTATTACAAACATATAAAACATACCTATCGATATAGATGTCTATATCAACAGGTATACAAAACCTTGGTAGATATTTCTATCTCCCACTCAGATCTCCAGTCGTTCTCTCCTGGGCACGTCTCACTCAAGTCAGACAGGTCATGTGACTGGCTTTGGCCAATCAAATAATCACAGACATGACATATGTTTCCTCAAGTAAAAATCCATTTGTAATCCTCCCCTGTTCCCTCCCCCTCCACGGCAAACCCCAGAAGTTGTCCCATGGCTGTTCTATGACGGCCGCACCTCCCTCAGCCCAGGCCCCTGAGTGTGAGAGACTGCAAATACCGTCCTGCATAGTCCCCCTCAGTGAGCCCACCGACCCTCAACATGTGCATGTGAATGCCCTTCCACTCTGGCCTTGGGCTCAGCCAGATGGACTTGTCATCAAATCTCTCCATCTGCCATTCAGAAACTAAAATGACCTCTAAACAGAAGCCAGTAAGACCATTCACCAAAAACAACAAATAGGGGGCACCTGTCTGGCTCCAGCCGGAGCACATGCGACCCTTCATCTTGGGGCCCTGAGCTGGAGCTCCACGTTGGGTGCAGGGATTGCTTAACACAAATAAATAATTTTTTTTAAAAAACACCACAACAAATAAAAGTGCACAGGTGAGTCCATTCTGACTACGTGTAATTATATTTCAGTCATTAAGCCTACTATTTTTTCAATACTTTAAGTTAAATCATGGTGGTTTAGACATTTAATGTTCACTGAAGTTAGAGGGAGTCTGAGCTGAGCGTGTTAAGAAAACCTGAAAACATCAATTACGTGATAGTTTACTGGACGTACTTTAAAGACCAAAGATTTAATTTTTGGTTTGGACTTTCTAATGGTTTTGTGGTTTGTCTGGTTTTTTTTTAATGGTCCCTGACTAGTAACCTATACTGTCTAGAAAACCAAAAAGCTGAAAAGCATAAATGCAGGGTCACCATGAGAACTGAGTTCTAATTTCCTATCTCTGTAAACGGGCAACATTTTGGTGGTATTCAAGAGTTGCATAAGACATGTGTGTGCACATGTGGACACGCATCCACACAGACATACAGAGGAAAGCAAGCATTTATAATCAGCTTTAGCTGACTTGGTACTGTACTCATCATCGCTCTTCTCCAAGACCAGCCCACAGTCACTTACTCTCCAAAGACGAGCAAAACAGGAAACGTGGGTACCGCCCATAGGGCC